AAATCATCTAATGTCACGATATGTCATATTGAAAGCTTGTGTAATTAAAATAATTAGTTATTTTATAGAGCGCCTTCGTTGTATTAAATACACTCTTGATAAAATAAAAGATATAAATGTCAGTTTAGGGTTGCAAAAGAGTAATTATTTTAGTTGAAATGATTAATAAATTAATCATAAGAACGCGTGATTTGTATGAATTTGACCAAACAGTTGCATAAATATCAGGTATGCTTATTAGCAGAAACAGTCTTTTCAAATCATGTCTTATCATGAAGTAATCAACGTGTTCTACAAAATAATGATATTTTCGCTTGCTATATATTGCTGAATCTTTCTTAATGAAGACAACAATGTACACATTTGGAGTTTACCCTTGATGTGTTCGAAACGATAAACGTAACAACTAATCACTGTGTACATCATACCACATCAATGTGCATGGCGTCAAATAAGAAATCTAGTGTTAATTAGTAAGCAACTTTTAGAGATGATTCCAGAAATTCGGATGAAAAGTCCTGATCATTGGAGCCAGTCAAAGTGGTCATGAAGACAGTTACTCAACGATGGCAATGGGTGATGGTCATGCTATTTAATGAGCTGATGGAAGTAGGAAATGCATATCATTAGATTCTGACGCAAATGCTGAATACTTACATGCTCGTCGTGGAATCTGAAGGTGCTGAACGCGATTATTGGCAGAGCCTTGCGAGCACACTTCTGAAAAGTTCCAAACTATGATTAAACAGCTGTCCAGTGCTTCAACGTCTCCGCTAGTTCTCCACCTGACATAAGTCCGTAATGAATACCAACCAGAAAACTAGCATTGTTATAACAGAGGCCTGAACTATGTTTGTGGGATGTTGGTTATTATTAAGATAGTTCTCATCACTAACTGACGTCAGCTGGAAAAACACTGAAAACCTGACAGCACTTCACAGTTATTTCTTTCTGAATTGGAACTCCTGAACAGTTGACAGATGTAGCCTTATGACTTAGTGAACTCATTTAGGCCAGTTTTCACAGCTGATATGTTACCACTTAGGAATCCAACGGGTAACCTGTTCTTAAGTTTACCGACTTAGCGTATGGCAGGCCCATCATTTGAAGTCTTATGCTATCCGATACTTACATGTTTTCAGTGGTTCTCCAGCTTAGATCATTCCTTGGTGAAAATTTCATTGAAAACTCCAGCAAAAGTCAAGGTTTTTGACAGTGTGATAAGCTTTTTAATATTTAGTGGATAAATCTTTTTATTCGACTGATTTCAGAATTTTCATTTTCTTCTGTTTCGCTCTAACGATTTTATCTCTGATCGTAAATGACTTTCGTTATCTCTACTTTTAGTAAGTTAAAACGTAACGGCAGTACTTAATTTCAAAATCTGTTCACTTCATTAATTATAAATTTATGCCTCAAGGTATGAATAGGAATATGCACAGAGATATCAATCATACAGTGTCACTTTAGAGAACAGCTGAATGTTAATATTTTAGTCTTCAGCTTCAAACATTCTATATAATTTCTTGAGTCTATGAAAACAAATAGTCTGAGAATAAAGTTAATAACAGTATTCAGACCTATTTTGTCCATGTAAGGAGTGGATACTTCTTCTAAGTTAGGTTATTTGCTGTGTTTGTACGGTTTGGTTAAATCGCGTATCTGACTCTAAGTGACAGCTAGGAGTTCAAGTACTGCCTCATTTACTGTAGATGAGACACAAGACCATCACCAAAACCAACAGACATTATATACTTCATATTGCTCCGTACTTAAAGCTGTACGTTTACACTGAATTCACCAATAATTCTCCATTCAAGAAACTCAGAAGATAATCTACAAGCGCTTACTCTTTAGCTTACTCACGTCAAGGTAAACTGGTAAGTCATTCTATCTTTAATTAGTCAATCGTAGAAAGGCTATCAGTTGCTATTTATTTGAGTTCATCAAAAATGAGTAGTTGTCTTTATGGATATTTAACAAATTGTTGTTGCTGTTGTTCTATTAATCGCCTTATGAAAACTATTCATTCTATGCTTTTCTGTTTGAGAACACTTTCATTTTTGAATGGACCTACATGACAACCTGTTACACCTATCATGCTATATTACTGCCTATGAAAATATTCCATAAAAGTCAAGTCATACCAATCGTTTGGAACATACAGGGAGTGTAGGTGAGAATGACACAATCAGCTGATACTCAACCATGAGATTTCACTCAAGTTTTCTTTTGGAAAGTGAAAGATTCATCGTTGTACATAATCTGTTCGAAACTAATAGTGGCGCTAATATTTTAATTGTTGGTTGCCAGAAGATTCTGATATCATTCAGTAGTATATAATTACCAAGTTTCAGGCTTATAATATTGGATTATTTACATGCTTTTGAATCCGAGATTTTTCATGATTCGAATGATATAATGGTCAATGGATGTCATAAAAACCTTTAGAAGGTATCTTCGTCGAATTCGTTATTGTCATTTTAAAATGTACATTCTGCTGACAATCATTTTGATTCTGGTTATCCCAGTCTATGCAAATAACTAGACAAAATTAGGACTGTCTAAATATTTTACCACTCCATACAGAATCTTTCATGAGATACCAGTGATGAACTCGAGTGCAGATAAATTTAACTGATATTTTGTCTTCACCTCAATCTGATCAACAATTAAAACTAACTAATTAATACAAAGACTGTAAATATTCATGCCATTTATCGGAACATGTATATATGTTGAGTACAATTTATTTTCCATAACCATATGAAGTCCACAACCTTGAGGCTTTATGATCTTTCTTTCAGTGTTTCGATTTGAATGATTCTCTGAATTCGATAATTTATTGGTAAAGTTTTATCTGACAAAATATACCCACTTATTTATTAACAAGAACAAAGCGTGTATCAGCAAAGAAATATTTCTTTTCAACGACTTCATTATCAAGCTGTGCAGTCACATTTATACTCAGTAAAGTGACAGATGCTTGCACTAAGAGTTTGCTCAGTCAATATGCAAAATATACAATAAGTGAAGGTGGTGGTATTGATTCACCTATTTTACACGTTTCAGCTTAATAATCACTGTTTTACAATTTTTTGACAACACTTGTCTCTTATCTCACCATCTGTTATCAATTCATTACGTTTTCAATGACTCATTTTCTATCTCTCCCATTTGAAAAAATACCACTACCTACACCGATTGTATATTTTGCATATTGACTGAGCAAATTTTTAAGGCAATTATCTGTCACCTTACTGAATATAAAAGTGAATGCACAGCTTGATAATGAAGTCGTTGAAAAGAAATATTTTTCCGCTGATACATGCCTTGCTTGTACTTGCTTTAATCGTTTGCAAAGCTGAGTGAAGCCTATGAAGTGTAGACGAGAATAGGACAAGGTTGCCAGCTACTATCACCAATGATCTTACTGGTTGTCGTCGACTACACTGAACTGAATCATACAACAAATTGGGAGGGGCGAGAAGATGGGCATACACTGTTAGATCGATGGAAATGGACCACATGGTTAAGATTTCGCCGATGATAACTTATATCTGATGTCACACAAACTCGAAGATCTATAGGCAAAAAACAACAAGTTGACAGAAGACGCAGGGCAGCGAAGACGAGACAGATGCGATAAAGATACCCAGTCAACAACAAGAACAACTAGCACCAATCACCATCAACGGGAGAAACCTAAAGGAAGTAGTCTCTGTCACCTACCTAGGCAAGGTAACATCTTTTCAAATACAGGTGGCGGTGATGGCACAGGTGAGGACATCAAAGAAAGGATCAAAAAGACAGCAAGACAGACCTTCATTAACCTGAAATCAGAGAGGAGATCTACTACACTGAACTGCACTCCATTCAGCATAAAGCGTGAACAAGGTCCGGATTTTCAACACTAATTCAGTCAAGTCAGTGCTTCTATGTGATAGATAGTTCAGAGAGTTTGGGCGTTACGAAAAGCATTTGCAACAAACCACAGACATTCATCATCTGCTGCAGCCTACGCCCACTTGATACTGCAGATGGAGATCAGATGACCAGAATAATGGGGATGAGGAAGGAGGAACTGTGACTGGCTGACAACGAACCAACGAAGCAAGAACCCATCGCCCAACAAATATGCAGAAGAAGGAAGTGGAGATGGATTGGATTGGATATACACTGAGAAGACCATTTGGAGACATCACGCGTCAGTGCAGGTGAGGATTTTGAGTGGAATCGAAATGGGAAACGACGAGTTGGGCGTCGCAGTTGAGGGTGACATGGAGGATAGCGTGTGATAAATGGGAGGAATGAAAGCTTGTGGGCAGTGGTGGAGCCAGGTTGTAAAGACTGTAGAGAGGAGAGTGAAGTGGATACGTGCTGCTGAAATCCTATATTCCACTTGTAACGCTTAGGGCAAAGAAAAGAGAAAGAATAAAGAGTTCAATTTTTATTCTACGCCAGATTATAAAAGTAAGACCCAAGTTGTTTTGTCCGGTGTCAACGATTCTTTTTTCATTGTGTCCTGTTTATGCATATCCTTGATTTATTTGATGCAGCTTAACTGAAAAGGATTTTGAAAAAAACTGAACTCTTGTAATCTTGTTTTTTCTTGTGAGCACAAATTAGCCAAGTAAATCTTTCTATTTAATTTTGGTTCATTGTTGAATTCCACTGTTTTGCGAAAATTGCCATAAAACAAAATTTATTCATCTTATTTTTTGATGATTTATTGAACTATTCTGGCGGATCAAATGGGTCTCAGATATTCGTCTCCGTCAACATTCATTGAACATGCACATGAAACCAGTGATATAAAACGAACTTTTTAAATGCTTACATATCTCTATAAACGTGCTAAGTTATATGTCGATTATGCTAAGAAGCTCAGGTTTGGCAAAGTTTGCCGAAACGAATTCATTTTTTTGCATTATGGCAGTAATAAGGATTTTGTACAGAAAGTGTATTTTTTTATTGCTATGTTCAGTGCTATTTTATTAATGGCTGGTTGGTTATGGTTCAGCGTCTGCCGTTGCCTAGTTTTTTTAGTTGTATAAGGAGCTATTTGCGCTGATTATTTTGTGTCGCGATCTTTGAGTGAATACGTAAAATATTTGAATATCATCATGGATTGACAAGACGTAGTAAACATTTGAAAATCAAGGAGTATAAGACATAATTTACGAAAATAATTGTCGTTTGACTTCACTGTTCACGTCGACATTCTGAAGCCATGTGGAGTATATATCATCATCTGGCCAGTGTACTTAAGCTTAATGCTTCATATTTCTGACATTTTGATATTCCCTTGTATAGTTATCGTTATTACGTAAAGTCACAGACAAATGCTTGTCTGTCAGCATGTTTGCACAGATTATTGGTTCCATGCAATGCGATTTTCGAAAAATTTATATTAAATTTGTTTAATGACTGATGATTAAGAAATCGACGCAACGACTGGATGAGATAGTGGGCCATCTACAAATAATCGACATAGAACACAGCTTGTGGTATGAATTTTGAAGCATATAAATACTACAATGAAACACTTAACTACTACTCCCTGGTAGTCAAATGTTCTCTGGCTGATGTCGGTTCATTGTGAAAACTATCTCTAAATAAGTTGCACTTAAACAAAACCGTTTATTTTACCCGATACCTTCAGGTTCTGATGCAGACAAATTACAGTTTCCCATAATAGGTAATGATCAACGACAAGATAATAACAGAACCACTTCTGATATCTTTACAACATATGAATCAGTTGATACTTCATCATTAAAATTTATCTCAACGACACCAATCACATCAACGCCATCACTGTCATCATCATCAGCTAAATGTTCTAAAATACACTTTCCATCAAATGATTCAGGCGAAATTCACCCACGTAAAAGAAGACAAGACTGGTGTAAATGGCCCATATGTATACAGTACCGAACAACTGGTTATTGTCCAGCATACAATCCTAATGCAACATCACTGTCATCACAGATGTGTAATGCTGCTCATATTGGTCCAAATGATCAAGTACCTATGTCACCAGATGGACAAGTCCGAGTCTGTTTTGACTCAATGGGATTAGTGAATGTAAGTTTCATTTTCGAATATATGGTTGACATTTTAGCTTTTGGAGAAAACATTTGCCGTATTATATTGTCAATTGTGAAGTTTTATCTGAAATGGTGGTAAGAAATTTAATCTCATGATACAATTTAGGCTGAAATATGTGTGTATTTATTTTTAAGTAAGGTGTTTAAAACTAATCAGAAGTGTCGCAGATATAAAAACATTCCAGTACTTCAGTTTCTGTTATACTGTATGTGTGAAGTTGTAACTCGATGGTTTAAGTATCCGTTTTAGAGTCACTGAACCTTGAATGTTGCATGAAATACACCGGTTGGATTTTTAGACTACATGGAACCACCTATTTCAACACAGTGTGCCCAAGTTGTAGCCTAAGTGAAAAAGTGTTTTGACAAACAAATGGATCGTCACAAAAAAGCCAGTTACAATTTATATTCCATTCAACGACATCTAGTATTACCGTCGTACAACTATAACCATTAAGGTATTAGGATATCAAGTATACGGTTCACTGCAAGGCAGAACACTACGTAGTAAATTAAAAGTCTTATTATAGGCATCATTCATAGGAGAATAATAATGAGCATAAGTAAACAGTTTCCCCTTAAAACATTGTCTGAAATCACCTAAGGTGTTGTTGAATTATGCAAAAAAAGTATTTTAATCTATAAAGGATTCAACTGAATTTTTTCAAGCATACAACTCTCCGAATGTTGCTGTCAATACTTGTAAATCACCACAATTTTCAAGGTGCATAAGAGCGTATACATCATTGTCTGACCTTTTTAGTAAATGATATCAGTTTCCTACTTTTGGTTTTACGTTTTCCAGCATTCGTAAGCTAAGAATGCAAACCAATTTGAAGGAATCCCCAGTCCTTTCCATTTTGGTAGGCACATTCCGCATAGACATCGCTAGTATACTTGTCTGGTTAAAACACACTAACTTGACTAGACCAGATACACTTACCATTTGACATCGACGAGTACCACACTACATTTGCATTGGTGATAATTACATCTCAGTGTGGCTTTGATTTCTCAACTAGTATGTTAATTAGGCAACTGCATTAGAATTGTTAATCTGATATTAGTTCGTAAAATATATGCATTAGTGTAGAGTCACTGTTTCGGAGCTGATTGAAAAAAAGCATTTACTTGCAAGGTCTAAGATTCGAGAAAGCTGGGAATATCTACTTTGTTTTCGAGCCTTAGGTAGTGATGGGTATCTTGGTGGTGTTATAACTTTTAAATTTGAGTTGTTGATTGAACTGAAGGGATCAGTCACTGCTAACATATGAGCTGCTATGTGGGTGGACTCGATGATATTTTCAGTTTTGACGTCGATGGTGGATAGGGGTTAGCAGCCAAATCTAGGACGAGTCTTAAATAAGGAAGAACGCGCTTCCAGGGTTCCACTGTTATCCACTCTCCTTTGACAATAACAGAACTAAAAATACAGGTTGGCAATGAATAATGTTTCAGCTACCAAGAAGTATGAGGTTAAAACTTTGGCACTGCGAGTGAACCCAATTCTTCAAAAGATTTGATTATTTGAGATATTATACACAGTGTTTAAGTTCTACTTACGGAGGATGATCATTCAAGGGGAAATGAAAATGTTGGTGCCAGCAAGACTCGACCCACAATCCTTCGTGTCAGTGGTTGAGTGCTCTGTCAACTGAGCTACGAGACTCGGTTGTTCATCCAGTCGGAATTTTATTTCAATTATAAAGGGTTTTATCTTAACGACACATGTACTCTCTATGCATAGCTGTTCGTACATCGTTTTCCAAATAGCTGCATAGCAGGACTTCGCATCTCGGTTCAAATCGAACAAAAGTAGACTGGAGGAGTATCTTGTAACTCCAAGTTTGAGTGAGATAGCTGGAGACTCTTGGTTGCGGCAGGACTCGAGCCAAGGAGTTTCGGGTTACCAGACTAGCTTGTAAAGTCTCAATAATATACACTGTTTTCTGCGAGTATAACAAATTTGTTTAGCAATGCAACAGGCGAAGTAATTCATGTAAAATTCATATTATCATCTTCAATCTAAAATAATGAGGGTATTTATGATTATTGAAGACTAATCAAAAGCAACGTAACTAGCAAAATCCATTTTTGTTGACCCAAAAATGCAGAGTTGCCTAGATTACTCTGTACTGCTCAATATATCAGAGAAACTGAGTAAAGATGTTTAGTTTTTATTGAAGGGTTGATGTAGATGAGGAAATGTTTACTGAATGGATTGTTAATAACGTGAGAATTGAAACAAGGAGTAATTAATCGAAAGTAATGAATGGCTGAAGTGAAAGTTTTAGAAGGTAGGGTGTTTTGAAACGCTGTAGACTAATATGATGAAAAAAGCAAGGGTTTAACGAGTTTCGTTTACAAGCGAATCCATGACTTCTCTATTTCAGTTACAATAGCTTCAGTTACACAAAGGGAGAAGAGTATGCCCGCTGACTCCGGCAGGCTTTTTCACTGTGTAGACATCTTTGAACAAGGTGGTTGTTAAGTCCAAATTATTAGTATTGATGAGTATTATCGTAAGTAAACATATAATATGATATGATTTCAAAAGCTGTTGCATACACTTTCAATTAATAATCTGTTTTCATCCTGTTTTGACAGTTTCTAAAAAAGCTGTGTAGCAGCTTTTACGTGAGAATAGACATTGTTTGTATAACCACTTAAAACCTGAGGCTATTTAACAGTTATTTTGCTCCACTGTGAGGTTTCTCACCACATTACACTCAACACCGTGTCCAGCTTGATAGCCAGCAGTAGATTAAAGTCACCGCATACAAAGTGCTGAAAGAAGTAAGAATTTATGCGATATTGGGTTCAAACACAGGTTGAAGGTAATGTACTCAACAAGAGACCTAATGACCGCATCCGTTCTCAGGCACTTTTTTCTGAAGAATCACAGTATAAGACTTAAGAGCTATTAAATGCTGCAACATCTCCAGTTTATCGATAACCAAAGTTAGCCATGACGTAAAGTTCCTTGACATAAGCAGATTTTTAGTATACAAAGTAGCCTAATATCACAATCGATAATCAGAAATTGGATTTAATGTAGTTCTCGTAAAGAGGCAGGTAATGTCTGATAACCTGAATGAATATGGAAGCTGCCTTGAATAAACAGAATTCTATCTAAAGTATATGAGTTATTATAGTGGTTGAAAACCATGACGAAAGGGAAGAAAATGAAGAAGAAACTTATGACACTGACAAAGAGAAGTCAAAAAATTCACACAAGAAATATGGCCTCTCTGTACAAGTCCAAGGTAGCAGTTGACGTATCGATGAAGTTTCTGAGACATTCTATTTGACCATTTAGATTCATGAAGGAGTGCAATCAGAGACAGAAGCAAGCGGAATAACTGAATTGTCAGTTGGCTGACCTCCCACTGTAGACAACCAATGGACGTATTAATTAAAAGTGGTTTTATAGTAACATAATTTCTTCAGACCACATAATAAACTTGAGCATTCACGGTGTAAACAGCAATTCTCACCACTCAGCTGCATACAGAGCAATGCTCTGGGAATCTTAGACAAAAAGAGAGATATATCCTCATATCGTTTGCAAGGCGAAAAACATCAGAACAAAACTTACGGCAACAAAAAGGTATCTCTAAAAAGAGCTCATATGTTAGATAAAACCCATTTGATCAGTCTAGTAAAGTAAACAAAGGCTGAGAGATTTGTTTGATTAACCAGTTATGTATGCCAGTAGGTAGGGAAAAATAATTAATTTACAATCTGTTTAATAAATTGTTATGTACCTTTCCATAACTGTTCTAAGAAATTCATGTTATATATAGAATTTTCTACCTTAATTTACACTGCAGCTTACCTGTAATCGATCGGACTGCTTTTTCTACCACCCACCAAAAACGATCAGAGATCAAATTGTAGCCAAACGACACGCTCAGTATCTTCGAGAAAAAGTGATTCGTGACGCTTCAAAATCACGCAAATCAACAGGTCTCTTAACTTTTGAAGACAATGCTAAAACCCTTCCTAGTTTCGATTGTAATACCAAGCTGAAATACGTATCTCATGGACAGTCAGTGATGACATCGACGACTGGGCTTAATCCTTTCAACTTACTGACAACTTCTCAACCATCTTCAAGGACAGTTGATTTAATTTCAGCATCTACAATGAATAAGGATAATTTACAAGCACTTTCCCAAGGGTGTAATATGGATCCGTTATGGTTAACACACGTTTCACACCATCAGCAACCACAAGACCAACATCATCAGCATTTAGCACAATTACATCAGCAAACAAATCTTAAGTCTCTGATTCAGGGCTGCACTTCAAATGCAGCAGCACCTTATCTAATGCTTAACAGTAACATTTCTCCATGTTTATCGAATATTATACTGAACAGTGCATCATTCATTCAGCCACCAAGTTTAAATCCGAATATATTATTACCCAATTCATGTCCACTTTTCTCTAACCCATCCATAAAATCTCACTGTCCTGATATTAATCTGTTGTCTACACAGAATCAAACTGACAACGAATGGTTATATAATATGCTGTCAATGAATCTTGGACCATTAACACAACCAATGTATTCGTCGAACTTAGTAAGTAACTGTCTGTTTTATAAGTCGACTTCTTCGAAAGTGTGAATCACCTTAATCCTAGAAAACACTCATGGTTGTGTTGTATTCTTTTAGCTGGGTGGTTTAATCGTGAAGCTTTTATTTTCTTTCCGGACAACACCATCAGGATTAACTTCAAGGTCAGCCACCTGAGCTACAAATATTCTTCATTACTACGAAATAAACATTAAAGTTTACATAAATACCGCACTCATAGATACAGCTGAATTACTCGTTAGTATATTATTTACTGAATACGACCGGTTATTTCCTTAATTAGTTCATCTTTCTATGTAAGTGTGCATTTGAAACTAAAATTGTTTGACTAATTGTGATAACCCCTAGCTAGTGAGCCAATCAGTGCAGACCCACTAGGTCTTATGAGTAGGCAACTTTAAAACATGAAGAGTCAATATGGCTCATACATTAACAATAGTTATCAGCTAGATTTTTGACTTCTACTTTAACAATGACAATCAAAACAAATAGGCACCCATAAAGGGTAGGATGATTTCGGTAATGTTTTGTTCCTTAAGTTAGACGGTTTGACTGTGAACCTTTTATTGTCATTCTAGACAACGTCATAAGCACAAGTAACAAGAAGTGATTTGCGAAAATTTCTTTAGAGTCATCAAGTAATTTGTGGAGGATTTCCCATTGCTCAGTTTCGTTAGCGGTTTATACTGATGATGTTATCTGGGATGAAAGTGAAAGCTTCATGAATAAGCCAGATACTTCATGGGACATATCATCACAAAAATAAACGTACAGATATGCATCTCATCATTCTGGAGCTAGTGCTTAGGTACTTCCTATTTAATTCATCATATCAGAATCGATTACCAAGGTTAAGTTTTTATTGTTTGGGTAGTTATTTATGGGATTGTTGAATAGTTTCTGTCAAGTGACTGTGTACTAACTGTAAATGGTGGTTGTTCAAGGTAGGCAGCTCATAGCAGTTTGTAGAAGAAATCAAATTAACCAGTGAAATACCGATGAGCTTAAGATTACTTTAAGCAAATAATTACGAAACGGGTGCTCTAAAGTGATGTGTTTAAAACCTGACTAATAAGTCAGTTAATAAACCAATATAAAACTCGTAAAAGTTGAAAAAAAGGATTCTTTACTTGTCTTATAACTCCTAATCTAGGCAAACTGTGCATACCTCTTATCTTGCCAATGATTAATTCCGTAATCTGTGACGCTTGAATGGTAAAAGTTAACCTGAATTTCATTCCAGAGGTATCATAAAAGTCTTGTAGTATATTTTATCAAGAACTGTTTGAGTTGAATATTGAAAGTTGTGAGAACAACGTCTTATATAGAGGACAGTTTCAAATGAAAGAAAAATCTAGGCACAGATAGGATATTATCTGCAAGTTATCATTTTGAAGCTGTTGCAAGTCACACGGTAGCAAATACATTGGGAAGGGAGAGATGAATGAAACAAGTGGTATTAGTTTTTTTGTATTAATTTTGACAGATTGATTAAAAAATAAATTTCATCTGAAAAGAGTAATGAAAATGCGACCTCTTAGATATCGCATCACAAACTGATTTCTTATGGTATAAAAGTGTAACCAGTAAATCTGATAATAATGAAGCAAATAAAAGAATCGTATAATTCTCTGATATTATTTTTATTGATAAAACAAGATAATACTGCGATATTTATGTTGAGTGCAAGAATAAACTGTTTTTAAGTGTCTAATGAGGATTTATTTTTATCCCGTTATTCTACAAATTTGATTATTTTCTCATATTTCTTGTTTATGATTTCATCGACTGGTGCTGTTTTTGTTCTTATGTAGCTGTAGTCTACACGGTAAGGCGCTTAGATTGCTTTAAACCACTTCAGCAATTCAAAGCCTCGTCCACCTTTAAAAGCTTGGTGACAGTGTTCTTTCATAGACCCTAAAAAATAGAAATGGTTCAAAATGTAGTACATAAGTGAATAGATTGTTGTCGAGCTGAATTTCTTATTTAAAGACTTAGCAAAAATGTTTTCTGTAATTTAATCTCCAAAAATGTAGAAATGTTTTCGTCGAATTTGCAAGCCATTGCCAAGTTTTATCTTCTATTTCCTATATTCCTAATATATTTTAGATTACACCATGGAGCAAATTACTCGACAGTTTATTATTAAGTAATCCATTACTACTGTCAAATGTTTCACAGAATACAGGAATCCCAATCAATTCACAGGTTAATTGTTTATCAACTCAGCTGATTGATCCATTGCTGCCATTCAGTTATCTGCCAAGCATATCATATCCATTGATTACAAATTCAATAAATTATCAGTCAGTGACATTACCTGCTGAGAATAGAGGAACAGATTCTCTGAATACTATGCCACTTTCAACTACACTGAGCAGTGACATCAATATACCTTCTAATGGTTTTTCTGAGTCACTTCATTCATCCTCCATAACTTTAACATCAACAGCTCAATCAATGAATCCTGAGATTCTATTTCAAAAATCACAACTTTCATCACAAACGGACTATGTGAATACTACAACGAGCACCATTATTGTCAGTTCCAGTACTGTATGAGTGTGAATGATTACTTCATGAAAAGCCTGAACACTTCTCCGCCTTATTGATAAAAATTAATTTATATTTTCAGCTCAAAGTCATAGGTTTGTTCAAGATAAAGCAGAACTTTGAGATGTGGATTTTTTTAATTATCTCATTCATAAAACTCAAGAAGTAATCTACCAAGGTTCTATTATTCAGTTGTCAGCATATAAACGTCTTAACTAGTTATCTCGATCAAAGCCAAGTTATACATGTGTTGAAGCTTCACAATATTACTTGTTTTATTTGGGTTAGGGTATTTAATGTAAAGAGGCGCCTAAGTTTCTGTTGGTCTGTGTATGAATAAGTATGAAAACGATGAACGTTTGTTATCACAAGAATGTGGATAAAAATCCTCTTGGTTAACAATAAATAACCGTATTTAATAAATGATAGTTAAGTTACTCAGTTTTTGACTTCTTTAAGACAATAAGTTTCACTATGTTGAAAAACAAGCGTTCCACAAACAGTATTTTATAAGATGAAAACCCTATGACACTTTGTTAAGTATATTCAATGTAAATTTCTGACTATGTAACTTAGTCGCAAAATATTTCTCTCTCTTGACAGTTTTCAACAATAACGGGATGAGTAGCTTAATGTCAAAGTAGTCGGACCAAGAATCTATCAAGTTAGACGAAAAAAGTTAAATAAGAAGATGAAATGCACTAACAAAGCTATTTCATTCTCATTGGCAAAACGCCTTGTACTTTTGCAATATTTGACTATTTGCAAGGTATTCCCGCCTAATATCTTATGGGAAAATGCATAACCCTTTTGGATTTATTCATTCTAACAAGACAGGAAAGAAAAGAATGCAGAAGTAATCGACAGTGCCATTTGTAGCTGGAGCTCAGGGAAAGATTGCAGAGATAATCTTAGAAAATTACCTTCCAAAGCATTTGCTGAAGACCTTTCACGAGAATAGCCTAAGGATTGCATCCTCCATTAAATAGGAAATCCAATAATGGGATGAGGATAGAATAACCCTTTCAGCCACCTCAGTAGGAAACCATCAGTTTTCTTATTACTGTGAAGCAACATTCATTGATTGTAGACAGCTTCACGTGCGTGAACGCATTTTGGGGTATCGTCCCTTCTATAAATTTGACTTATTTCGGTAGTTTCTTTAAGTAATTTACCGATTCCATTCCTAGGACTAAAAATGGCTTACGTTGCAAAATCTGTATATACCAGAATCATTGGCAAATCTGATGTTGATATCCAAAAAGATTGTTTGCATTCATCAACCTTGCCACTGCTAGGAAAGTGATATCCCTTCGTCTTCAGAAACGACTTTTATTGCGCTTCTGGACATTATCGTAATCATGAGATCCTATTCATTAGTAAGAGACTGTTATTAATTCGAGTACTTCTAAATATTCATGCAGATTCAATTTATCAAATCGTCGAGAAGAAGGCTTTCTTCACTGTCATATCGTCTCTCATTAACCCAATGTAAAGATTTTCCGTTCACATAACATTAGCTTACTCCTTAATAACTATTCCTCCAAATGTTGTCAAAGATCGATAAGGAGGAAAGGTGATGCGGGCAATGATCTATTTATAAATACGAAGGAATTCAACGCCTCTGTATTTTTTTCATCTGAAGAAAAAAGTAATGTATAAGATTCTCAACTAGGCTGGGATTACGATGGAATATTAACTAACAAATTAACTCAGAGTGAAACTTCATCGTCGCAATGATTCTATTGAACCAGTGTCAAAAAAATAACAATATATTTTACAACTACAAAGGTCAAAGAAGGGAGCTGGTGTCAGTCAGACTAGTAGAACATACGAACCTTGGTAGCTAAAGCCAGACTAGTGGACCATATTGAGATGAGAGATCTAGAAGGCGGTAATCCTTAATCCCATGATAGAGTGGGATGGAATAGCAACCTCAAAGACTAGTTAAGGTGAGTGAATAGAAAGGTTGATCACTGAACCTCTTTTTATTAGTTCGATGACTAGTACATGTAATAGAAATGATTCAGTGCTAATTCCCGATTACTTGGAGTTCCTGTTCAAATCAAGTCCAAGAATACAGAGCACTAGAACTTCAGGGACGAAAGCCAAAGGTTTAGTGATAATGAATTGTGCTCAGACATGATCTTGTAAATAATACTCTATCACTATGTGGTATATTAAATAGACTAGTCCAATATGGAACTATAGTCTACCAATATACCCAAGTGTTAAGTGCTACCATTGGTTTTCAATGGTGTATCAATGTTTTTGCTAGTGACTTCCTCTTGTTCTGTAGAGTGACTCTAATGAAAGCTGTTAATTAGAATCCTTTTTACAAATATGTTCTACCCGTGTGGACTTGGCATCTAGGTTAAGAATATGATTTCATACATACAGTGTAACTTCATTCTTTCATTCTGTGTCTTTTACGAAAAAAAAGTTTTTCAACGCTCTAAAAGTCTATTATTTTCAACACTCGGTAAGAATACAGGGTTTATTTACAACAAATTTTATGATTTTATTCCACAGTTTTGTATTAAGAAGAAGGAACGCAAGGTTATTAAAAATTTATTCTGATAGTTTTCATTGATACCAGAGTCAGTAAAGTTAAAAAAGTGACATTTTTTGCAAAATTCCAGGTGGTATCGAATAATTAATCACATCACACACTAAGTGATCAACAGATTATTCTTGAGAAAAGAGGTTGACAATGTTTTTCAGTCATATTCAGGTCATAATTTTATAGGCAGACACTAGTTTTTAGCGTGGAGGTAATACGACAGTCTACCTTTGAATTTAATCAACAGAAGGGCCACAGTCAGTCATGCCTGTCAGAAGGAATGATCAACAGTCATCCTGATTAGTGATTACTCATCAAGGTGTCTATCGTCTACAAGTTGCTCCAAACCTTCCTATAAACACTACAAAGAAAGAATCCAGATTACTTTTAAGATGACATTTTTGGTAATTGTCATGTTTATTTGCTTTCTGTATTACTAAACTCTTTTAGTTACATTATGATGTCTTGATTACAGTTGCAGTTTGAATTAGGCATTCAAATTTCTGTTTCCACTTGAAGAAAATGATGCAGGTTTCACTCATAAGCTTTTTCGAATGAGTCTAAATTAATTGTAGCATGTAGCTTACATTACTGTTATGCTTATGATCTTCAGATTCAGTTCAAAACATTTTCGCGGTACTATACAGTGGATAAGAAATTTAACAACGTCGATTGGCAGAAAAGTGATAGTAAGCAATCTCAGCTCTTAACATCAAAAGTTCATATCGTCCAAGCCAGTGTTTGACCACATCAATATTTTCATCAGCACTTAACACTTCTATGATTATGCTGATATTTTAATTCAGTGATCAGACTCAGGTCAACGATATGAAAACTTCTGTCATGTTTGTCTCACTCCTTTTCTAAAAAGATACGTATACTGCGAGTTTTCTGCTTTATTTGCCTATATCTCGTCTAAGGACAGAAAAAGTCAACAATACTGCTCAAAAGTATTAGGAAGTTTATTTTAAAATATGTATTCCCACTTAATATCCTTTCAGAGTTGTACTAATCATGGACTAACACCAGTTGAGGAACCATTGAAAACCTGGGAGCACTGCGCAGCCCTTTCTTCGAACTCACTAACTTGAAACCGGTCAATTCCTGAAATGACTTAAAATGAATTTCTGTCGCATGCTCATAAGAGAAATGTTTTGAGATGGATTTACGGAAGGTCTAATAAGAGGCCATGACTTGTGGAGTCCAGCAAGTCGGCAATCGGGACAAATACTCGCCAAACATGTAATTACGTCATTCCAAAAGCTAATGGAGATAGAAAAATTTAGACGTTTAGATTCAGATACTGGCTAAATGGTAACATGCTCAAGTCTAGACTGCATTTTCATGGTTTGATCCATATCATATTCGTGAGTGCTCATTCCTTAGAATGTATCAGCGGTTGAGTCCTCCCAGTCTCTAAATTACCCCTTAAAATGATATCAGTTTGAGTTGAATAATATCTTGGAGTCAACAGTCTACACAACTAAGGTCAATCCTCTGAATTACAAATATTCTCCAACACTTAAGAGAATGTCATGTGTTGCCAGAATTATCTTAGTTAGGTACGGTTTGACAGACACACGTTTGGTATAGGATGATGAATAATAATCTCATGAATGTCTTAGTAACTGTAGTATTAAAACCACCGGGTTTCAGAAAACCAGCTTGTTACCTGCCAACTGAACTACGATAAGTTACTGCTGATCAGGTCTTAATCTACCCGCAATGACCTAGGCATCTTCTCAACTGTCATCGGATTACATAGTACGTAACAGTCCATTCATCTTATTTGGACTATCTAGTTCGATAAAACAGTTTATTCCAATTAAAATTAAGCCGAATTAAATTTTGACTGTTGCGAGAAGTCACGAGTGAGGAAAATAGGACTGATCATGGATGATACCATTGATGACAACATTCTATTTCGCAAGAAGTCATGATGGAAAATCGGGATCCACTGGAGATTGTCCTTGAACACTTACATAGTAGTCCGAAAATGTTTATGTAACTGAACCTGAAGTTCAAGGGTGACAAAGCCACAAGCATCCAAAAGACAACCATATAGGTCCTTAAGAACAACATATTCTGTCACTAAACTCAGTCACATTGTGCTGTCAGTACCTTGTAAAGGCTAGAGCACTTGGGTTCAGTAGTATGCGTGTGACAACTTACTTGATCTCGTAAACTCAAGCACATCTACCATACTATCTATCACCTTTAGCTCTGCTGGTAAATAGTTTCTGGTATGGCTGGCAAATGCAGAGCTGTAATGCATCTCTAATCTGTAGCAAAATACTTAGTTAACTAATGACACTTGACTAGTTTTGATAAATCTTTTAAAATTTTCTAGACAGTAACAACAAGCAACTAGGTGGGAGTAAGAATAAGGTATTTGGGCATAGGGGAAGCATTAGCTGTTCAAATGTTCACACCATCAATATTTGTT